TCTGCTTACAAGTAAACTCACAATTAACTTCAAGTTGCAGCGGTGGCGGCGGCTTCTTGCTTCGCCGAAGCGAAGGCGTCCTGGATCGCGGAGAATCCTCGGGGCTCCGGAGGAGTTCTCGCCTACATCGTCCATATAGGACGACTCGGGAACTCAACTCCTACCCCGGGCAGCTCACCTATCCCCTTATGCCCAGGGGGGCGATGGAACTAAAAGGGGCGATGCGGGGGCGAAGGAACTAAAAGGGGGCGATATGGGGGCGATGGAGCAAGAGGTTTTGGGGACACTTTTGAGACTTTTTCGTACAGTGAATGGCTGTATATCTGTAGTACAAAAACATCAGATCGCTTGCTATTAGTGGACTGAATTGTGTTTTCAAATATTCCTCCAACTAGCTTCAGTACAGAACGTCGTACATATGTGAATACGCATCGCTGATCTTCATGCGCATTGCGCAGCAGCCTCTACCCATACAGTGGCGCGCCATTAGCCAGAGTATGGGAGATATGGGAAAAAGACTGGAAATAAATTATTTGCATCGATATGTTCTGATGACAATTTTAAAGAAAACAAAAAAAAGTGTTTGCATAAATTGAAGAATTATTTCCTATGTTGTGATTGAGAGGTTATGTTGGGGGAGGGGGGTGATGACAACTTCCTCATTGGCTCAAGGGGGCGATTTGTTCAAAAAGGTTAAGAACCACTGCAGTATACGGTACTGAAAGGACACAGGGGGCAAATTGAACTTGCTCATAATTGGGCTGACCCATCCTATCAAGGACTGTACCCATTGCATACAGGATGAAGAAAAGGGAGAGGGAACATCTGACTATAATTTTACATCCAGAAGAAATGGTTGTAGCTCACAATGCTTAACAAATGACAAGTTGGTTGGCTTGTGAAACATCAGTTGTAGCACACACTTTCTAAATTTTATAGACAATGTCAACAGTTTCAATTAATGCAGCTGCCATAAGCTACTTGTTCCCATGGTAGATAGCAACACCTGCTGGCAAAGCATGATCGGTGGCATTCATTCAGAAGAACCCTTACTGCTTGCCAGCTCCCAAATTCCATCATAGAGAAGCATCAGCTGCCTCTTCACTTTGCATGGAAAGTCCTGGCAGATGGTGCCAAATGGTATGAAATGTGATCATAGCTCTTTTTATCCAGTGCTTTGACTTCCAAGGGCACTGTTCTTCTCTTTAGCTGCCTTCATTGTTATAGCAGTAACAATATCATGTTCCAAGCATAAAGTACACATTTTAAATTCATTTTTGATGTCATACAAATGTCTACAACTGCTATGATCTTAATTAACAATAACATATATGAATGAAACTTAAAAAGAGGGAAAATACATTTGGTATGATTGCTTGTCTTCCTTGCTCCTTTGTTGAAAACAACTAGAGCAGTGGTTCTCAACCTTTTTAATGCCGTGACTCCCAACCGGTCGTAAGTCGAGGACTAAACCGGTCGTAAGTTGAGGACTAAACCGGTCGTAAGTCGAGGACTACCCAACCGGTCGTAAGTCGAGGACTTTCCCTGCCTGGGAGCACCGCGCATGCATGGTTCCGCCT